AAACTTGAAACCACAATTACTGGAAACAATAATAAAACAATAGCAACATCAAAATGAACAATTAAAACCAGATAATATTATACACATAATGACACCAAATGAAGGCCTCACTTACAGGGCAGGGTAAACAGGTAAGTATTTAAGGCCTTCTTGAAGAGCTGTAATTATGAAGCTTTGTGGACTTCAAATAGAACAAGTCCCACAGAGCCCATGAGTCTCATTGCTTTGACATGTGGGCACACAAGCAGGACTTCTTGATCTCAGAGTTTGGGCAAGTTGGTATAAGTGAAGATGGTCATTCAAAGAACCTGAACCTGAACCATTTATGGCTTTAGCGGCCAGATCCATATTTGCAACTCCATATAGGACCAACTGCAATGCTCCATCCGAAGCAGTTGTCTTTTTACCTGCACTGCTTAAGTTCTTATCTAAATTATGTTTCAGTTTCTTCACCCTCATCTATCCCCAAAATGTCTCTAGATGCTCTGCCATTGGTAAATCTTCTGACTAGTGGATATTGAAGAAGATAAACCATATAGTACTCAAGTTTATTTCCAGAGATTGGTAATAAATTCATATCTTCTTTATTATGGTGATCCAGTTTGTAATTCCATTATGTTAATTAAATAAATTCTGTACTGTACAAGGCTCTTGCTGGTCAACTTTGCTTCCCACAGTATCTGTGTGAGGAGTTCCAGGCACAACAGCTAGCTCTAACAGAGAGCTCTTAGATGCTTTTTATGTTGTGTTAAAGATAAAACTAAAATCTCCCTGACACATGCACGTTAGCAATCATGTTTCTATTGAAAGGAATGCTTTCTTCTTGAGATGCTTACAGGCATTTCAATGGCAAAAATAAACACTGAATATGAATAAAATAGAGACTGAGAGCCATTAATGTACCATATGTCTATCAATAACAAAAACAGCCTACTAAAAATCTTTCCTCTTGCTAAAAGGCAAATGACAGTTTCTGATTAATAAATTATCTGTACTCATGTCTGAGAAATGCTCATGTCCTGTATCATAAGATGCAGGAAGAATAACCATCTTGTGAAGTGCAGTTTAGAAAAGCTCACATCCAGAATGGAAATTATTTGGGACAATGTGTGCTGAGTTTGGAAGAACAAAATAGAACAAAATGCAAGTTCACGTTCTTTAAGGAAGGGCCAACGGGGGCCTTCCCTGCTGTCTGCAGACAACACTGGTGAGCAGCAAGAGAGCACAGGGGCTCAGACCAAGGCCTCCGTTTGCCATCAGCGCTGCTGTCCTTGGACGCTTTCATATCAAGTCCATATCCATTTCATGTATCCATCCACTTCCATCTTCCTCTAGCTCACTGGCCAAATCCAGCCAAAGGGCTTTTGCATGGCATCATCCATCTTCTCAGGTTTCTTGCTTGGGCCTCAAGCCCTGCCCATGGCTAAGCACTGAAAGGGGCTTATTCCTGCTCTGCAGCAGATGGGAGGCAGCCTTTTCAGCATGGAGGAATGGAGCATGGCTTGATCAGCTGTGGAGCTGCGTCTGGACAGGATGTGGGTGAGGATGGTGTAGGAAGGGGTGGTTGGTCTTTCTGAGGACATGTTGCATGCACAGTGAATGGCAGCCTGGTCCACCACTGGCACGTGGCCTCTAACATCCCAACATGAAAATGCTTTCTCAGCCCTCATCTAGCTCATTAGTATTGATGCTGACTGGGTCTGCACAACACAATCACCAGCCAATAATAACAGTCAATGATTGGTTGTCATATCTAGCATAGGTTCCCTTCTGTGAATGTGGGGGGGAGGGTCCTCCCAAAATTACTCATGGTGAGAACTTGTGGATTGTTGTAGGGTTTGTTTTCTCCAAGCTGGGCTGTCATGTCATCTGAACCCAGATGACTGATCCCACTGTGAATAAAGATCCACAGTCAGCAGGTGTGGAAGGAATTACTGCTATTGTATTGCATTCAGCAGGAAACCCCTTGCAACTCTTCAGAGCTAGCCTTGGTCAGTGCCAAAGCCAGTGACTCCACAAGTGCCCACATTGGTGTGGAGCCATTTTTGGTTGGTCACAACTATTATATCCTTTTAAAAAATGGTGGGGAGGAATTGGGATAGCCAGCTTGACAGCCAGCTTTTTCAATCCCAATAAACTCAGGCTTGAAAAGCTCCCATTAAATGTTCCCATTGCAAAAATACCATATTTGCACATACACAAAAATAATAACTAAAAGAAAAATGAGCATGCCCAGCCAACCATTCAGGGTACCTCTGTGGTACCTTGAAGTGGAAGCCGGGGATTTCCTGCTCTCTACAAAACAATGTAAGGGAGGTAACAGTCCCAGTGATCTCAAAATAGCTCAGCTTAGTGGCAAGAAGACTGAGGGCACTTGTTTCTTCTATTGTGTCCCCTGGGATGCTGCCTGGAGGATGAAGGGGGAAGGAAGAGGAGAGAAAGAGCAATGCCTCCACAATGAACCTGAGAATGAACCTGAGTCAGGCTCATCATGGGTGGGTGGTACAACATCCAATCCATCGTTCTGAATTGTACCCTGTGAATCTGCCCCCTGCCTGGCAGCAGTGCCTCAGTCCTTGCAGTTGCTGGGAGTTAAACCCTGGATGCAAAGCAGGATCTCTTCTGCATGTAGAGCAGGGGTCCTACAACCATTAAACTTTTTTCTACAACCATTAACAAATAGCAGCATAGCAAGGGGCTAAGAATGACCATATTTTTTCCTTTACATGACCATGACATTTTTGATTTTGAACTGATCTGATGCAGTTGCTTTGTGCAGTTAATTCCAATAGCACTTTTGTGCATGCCAGTCAAAAGGCACTGAAAGGTATGGGAAAGGAACAGAGAAATCAGCATTTATCAAGTCAGTCACAAAAAGCCAAGTGCTTTTTCTGTTGCCATATTATATATCGAGTCATACGCAGCATGAAACAGTTCTCACTCCCCTGAAAATCCCCAGCATTGTTCTGTGTGGGTTGCATGCTGTTGGCCCAAGGGTCATCAGATTGCTACATTCTTTTCCACAGCAAGTCATGCACAGGAGCAATTTATCAGTGTCACCAAGGATCAATAGGAAATGTACCCCAGCAGGGTGCTGGTGTATCTCAGCAGTTGTTCTATTTTCTATGCTTTGATCATATTGGTTGCACAAATAAGAGGCTCACGGGCTTTTGCATATACAAAAGGTGCACTGTACTACTGCTTCTGTTAAAAAATACTTCTGGTCCTGATACTTTCAGAAATTGGGACTTCCCATTTAACACCAACATGGGTTTGTTGGCATTTTCAAATATCCCTTGCCTGTTATCAAATTATGCAGAATTTATGGCCAGTATGTCCCTGCTTCTTACTGAGTGATTTAGAGCCTGCCATTTAATCCACAAAGAGAAGGGGATGTAGTTTAGTGGGAAGAGCCATGGCTTAGTGGCAGAGCACTTACTTTGCATGCAAAAGGCCCCAGGTTCAATTCCCAATATCTTCATGTACAGAAGAAAAAAAGATCTGCCTGAAATCAAGAGAGCTGCTATCAGCCAGTGTTGACAATACTGAGCTAGATAGACCAATGGTCTGACTCAGTATAAGGCAGCTTCCTCTGTTCCTGTATTCCTAGCTGGCTTTCAACACTCTTGGAATTTACGACAAAGAATACTGTGGTGCCTTGAAGCCTAATAAAAGTATTCCAGTAGGAGCTTTAATGGATACTTGCAGCAGCAGACTAACATGGCTACCCTTCTAGATTTAGTGTGTTAAAACACGTATGGTTTGGAAATGTGCTCTTGCAATGAACTTCTCAGGGGACTTGCTTTGGCAAATGTCAAGGTAACAAGGTAAAGGCAGTTTCCTTTTCTTACAGTACCCCTGGCATAGTCTTCAGTGAAGGATACACAGTGTGTGTGTGTGTGTGTGTGTAAGGTCAGGCTGGGGGAGAACTCTGACAAGCTTGTAATAACCTTGGGTACACATAGAACTGATGTCCTCTGTGGCGGAGTGAGTGGCATGAATGGGGTTTAGACTTTGATTACTGCTGTTGTGTTGCATATTAGAGACGATCAGTGCACAATTTAACATTAATGGAAAGAAACAGCCCTTGCTGTTCATTACGCAGAATGCTGTGGCAGACTGTGGAGGCAGACTTCTGTACTATGCCTCTGGAGCCTGCAAGTGGGAGTTAACTATTTGAATACTCCTCTGCATAAGACAGTCTCCCTGCAGACAGTAAACTAGTATATCTGCTGTACTAGTTTATCACCATCCCAGATGTGCTAATTTAGTATATGCAAGGAAATTTTTCAATATGTTCTTATACCCACATTTGATTTCTATCATAGCATTCTGTGTAACATGTTGAACTTTAGAGCTGAGCTGAAAGGGACTTTCACTTTTGTAAAATAATATGAGATTCTTTCTTGCCCATCTCATTCCATGATGCTCAGGATGGACGATACAACATATCATGATATCATCTTATTTCATTTGACAGAGACAATAATTGGGTGACCACTGAGATGACCAGACTGAAAGGAAGAAATGCATGTTATTAAAAAGAGATAAATGTACTAATGCTGCCAGTTCATACATTTTTTTTACATTTTTACATTTTTACATTTTTACAATGACCAAATGTGGTTTGTTGTTGTATTACATGTTCTTTACCCCACTTTTGTGCTTATCCACACAACATACAACATACTGCACAACCTATGTAACATATTTATATAGGTTTTATTCCAGTCTAATTCTAACGGTTTCTTCTGAAGAATCTGTAGAATTGCAATTCGATGAGCTGACTATAAGCTTCTGGAGATCACTGGTTCCTCTCCCGGAACTCTTCTCAGAACCCTGAGAAAAGGAATAGCAGTTAAATGAATTCAAGTCACTCTATGGTGTAGTCATGTCCTCTGAAAAGACCAATCGTGAACTGAATTACTATTGCCTTACTATTACTATAGATGCCTTCTAGGGGAGGATGTTTTCACACATGTGAACTGATATTTTCACAGGCATGAGCGAATACACACTCGAAGACCATATCGTGTCGATGCAGCTGACAAATATTCTCCAGATGATGATATGGTAAACCTTGAAGTCCTGGATGAGGTAAGATATGGTTATCCTGAGAATGAACAGTGATCTTTCTGCCTGCTCTTGCCTTTTCTTTGTACTAATATCTCCATGTCACCAAGTTAATTATATATTTTTCTGACATATTGTGGGGGAGCCACCCATATGTCACAGGATTATAATCTCCTATTATAGGTTCATTTATATTTTGAGCATTTAGATGGTTCTGTTACACGGGGGAACCAGATAATGGAGGGGGTAAATTACATTATTATTTGAGCTTGCTACAATGAGTATTCCAGTTTTCTGAACTTCAAGATTAGATTGTATATCTTTCATAATCAATTTCCATTTGTGCAACAGTCATTAGAAACATATATATTTATAATAAATACAGCAATTGTACATTCACTTTCCACCTTTATAAACTAGTTAATTTCAACTTCATTGATATTTCACATATGCAAGGGAAACACATGGCAATTTAGCAGGTATGCGAAGAGAAAGAAAGAGCCCAGTCCATGCTACATGGATGTCCCATCTCCTTCCTTTCCTCCTCCTTTTCTCCAGAGTTGTGGTATCTTTCCCTCCTCACACTCATATCTCACCTGACTTTGCCTGTTGAAACGAGAAAGGAGTAGATATGGGCTCTCTCTGCAAAGTCTTGGTAATTTCAGCTCATTTATAAAACCGAGTGGGCTCACCTCATTGAGAAATAAGTCCACCTTTACCTTTATAGACCTCTCATTCGTTTCCCTCTGTTTTATCCTCAGTTCTGTGAGGTGGGTTAGATTGAGACTGGCCCAAAGGCACCCAGTGATTGGCCCAAAGGCACCCAGTGAGCTTCATGGCTGAGGGAAGGCCTCCCAAGTTCCAGTCCAGCACTCTAACCATTAAACTACACTGGCTCTCATTTTCCTCCTGAGGGAGCAGAGTAGGGCAGTACTGAGGAGTACCCATGGAGGTGCAGTGATTCTGGGAGGGAAAGAACAAGAGAGGGAGAGTTTAGCTACCCCTCCTGCCTGCCCATGCTGCAATTCAAGACTCTTGCTTCATATGACAACTGTGATTTTAATACATGAGAATACAGCTGCCACCAGAATGACTGAGATACCAGCATGTGACATTGGCTCTATGAGTTATCTTCCTGCTAGTCAATCTTCTCAGGATTCCATTGTTACCTACACAGAAGAGTCTGCCCAGGTTTCTGAATCCTCATTCAGATGAAAGAGCAATGCTTATGGGTTTCTTTGTGTACTGAGCTGTCATGTTCCATAGTTGCTTTGAGGAGGAGGAACTGCTCAGTACACCCAACATCCCTGCAGAGTAGTGAATTGTTAGACCAGGTCAAATGTGTAATGCAAGAAGCACTCATTCATTCTTATCTAAGAAAGGCATATGGGGGAATTTAATTTTCATAATTTGTGCTCTTTTTAAAAATCCCAATGAGAATAGGGCTATTAAAAAAGAAAAATAGATCTACAAACATTATAGAAAAATATTAGAATTGATAGCTCTCTCCAGTTTTCCTTTTGTATTAGTAGAGAGGAAACTAAGACTTCAATCTTTCCAAAGTTAAGCACATTTTTGTGAAAACAGATTTCAGTGGGCAATTGATTGGAAATTAATGGCATGTAAAAGTGCTTTACATTGGCTTGATTTGAGCCTTAGGTTAAAAAAAACTGTAATTGTAAGCAAAATATCATACAGTTTTGTGTTTCTACAAAGCAATTTAGCTTAATGTTATGGGCATTGTCTAGAAAGTTAAGCGACAAGAACAACAGAAAGTTAAATATATTTTCATTGTGTCTTTATATTTCCAGTGTATATTTGGGCATTAGCACATCTACAATTTATTTCCCCAAACTATACAATAACTATAAGTTGATAAACAAGCTTATTGCTTTTAACCTAGCATAATTATAGTTTCACCTTAAGGACAGATATGAGTCCATGAAAAGAATGGGTGTGATATAGTGACATCTGTATTTAATGTGAATGAATCACATGTAAGATTATCACTTATTTTTTCATGCATTTGATGTACTTAGTTGCAGTGAATTTCCTGTCTGCAGAAATACTGCTGAACTCTACAATTTGTAATCATTTCAGGATACAATTATTCATCAATTGCAGAAGCGCTATGCGGACTTACAAATTTATACGTATGTTGGAGATATCTTAATAGCCTTAAACCCCTTCCAGAATCTTAGCATATATTCTCCACAGGTAAGAAAGATCCTACAGTTTTGTTTTTTAAATATGCTAAATATTTTACATAATTTTATTTTTGTTATGAAAATCAGTTGAACAGAATTCTCTCTAAAAATGCATTTTAGATAAAGGACATAAATTTCTGAAGAACAGTTGCCCCAATACTTCCCTTGCCTCTTAAATTTATTTTAAAAGATGTTTGGGCTACCTTTATGGGTAGAACATTTTTTGTTGCTGCAAAATGTCTAACGGGGCCTAAAAAACAAAGGGTGGCATAGCTCAGCTGTAGATCTTTGTTTGAAGAAAGACCTGGATTCCATCTTTCTTTATTTATTCATTGTATATGCTGCCCTATTAGCCATAAGTTTTTTCTGGGTGGCTTACAACATAATCAGTAAAATCAACTGTTATAACTCATATAACATATGAGAACAATTCATGCAACAACCAATAATAGAACAATAATTTAAAAACAAGAAATTGTTGTTGTTAACAGTTGAAATGAAATGAAAATGTCTTTAATTGGCATCTAATGGAATATAAAGCAGACGCTAACCTAATCTCTTACGAGATCGAGTTCCCTATTTGGATAGTAGAGAAGGCCCTCTTCCTTGCAAACTCCCCCCTCACTTCACTGGGGGGAGGGATACAGAGGAGGGTCTCAGATGATGACTGCACTGAGCAGATAGGCATATATGGAGAAAAGCCCCAAGCTGTTTAGGGCTTTGTATGTTATCATGAGCACTCTGAATTGGACCCACATGGAAACTGGCAGGCAATGTAGCCTGCCTAAGACCAGCATGATATGCTCACAAGTGCCAGTCTTTGTCAGCAGGTAAGCTGCCCAATTTTGGACAAGTTGCAACGTGCGGCCCATTTTCAAAGGCAGCCCCAAGTAGAGCACATTGCAGTAATCCAAGTGGGTGATTACTAGCACTTGGATAACCGTAGCAAGGCTACACTCATCCAAGTAGGGATGCAGCTGATAAATCCGCCAAAGCTGATGGGAAGTGCTCCTGGATACAGAATCCACCTAAGCAGCAAGTGACAACTTGGGATCATTGGACATTTCCAGTTAAAGTATTGGGTCAAAAAGCCTTTTTTTCCCAAAGAGCTATTGCCAGGTTGAGTAGACCAGGTTCCCCTTCTTGATAAGCTAGACTATAACTCCCATCACCTGCAACATCTGTTTGTAGTCGATGTGCGTTGGAGTGTAACATGTCTGAAAAGTACCATAGTGGAAGAGACTATGATAGACAATATTGGACTAGATGAGTCTTCACCAACTTTGTGCCCTCCAAATGTTTTAGCCCACAACTTCCATCGCCCATGACTATTGTTATGTTGACTGGGACTGATAGAAATTATAGGCCTAAACACCTGGAGGGTGGTGTATTAATGGGAAAGGCTAGGTGAGCAAATAATTTGAGCTAGATTCACAAAAAGCACAAGCAAAATTTATTTGGGGGATTCTTTTTCTGTCCCTTTAGTGTTTTATGTGGGAGCATCTGTTTGCTTGGCTTACATGTTGTACTTTTTCAACTGCCTTTTGCTGTTTAGTTTTCCAAGCTTTACCATGGTATGAAGCGCTCTTCAAATCCACCCCACATATTTGCCTCTGCAGATGCTGCTTACCAAGGCATGATTACTTTTAACAAAGACCAGGTAAGAAAACACTCACTTTTTACATTCTTAGCATTTCCTGCACAATACAAGGAATATACTAAGTTTCTTACTTCTGAAATGCATTGTAGTTGGCCAAATGACCTGTGAGGAACATTCTGAGTTTTGTCCAGTGAAAATCAAACACTGAGGTCTTGCTAATACTGTTTTAAATATTACATTTTTCAGATGTATATGTATTTTTAAAGCATGCCTAAAAACCTAATGGGCTGGAGCCAGCCTCAGGGCGAAATTACATGGTACATTACATACATAGGGTGAAGATAATCCTAAATTTATTTTTTACCTTCATGTTAGCTGGCTGGCTCAGATGTAGATTATAACCAGTGCATGCAAGTAGGGAATGTTTAAACCTTCCTACCTGGAAACTCCCCCACTGCTGCGTGTGCGCACACGCACACACACACACACACACACAAATTGCCATCTGAGCAGGGAGCAACATGAGGGGTAAAGCTCCTTTGATGCCATCTCTGTATCTGTGGGAGAGGCTGTCAGCAAAAAGGATCCTGAAGCCTTCCAGTGCCTATAAACATTCACCACATTTTTTGCTGGAATGGCTTGTTGGAAGAACTTGCTTTTTAAAAGCTGCAAACTTTCCTATATAGGAAAACCTATTCAGAAATAAGTAAAGGTCAAATCAAACCGAATGCATTCTTAAAGATCCAGCATGACTCTGCCAAAATGGGTAAACTAGACAGGATTTGAGGATGATTTATTTGTGGCACATATCAGTGAGGATGGAAGGCAAGGTCTGGAATAAAAATGTCACTCTTTTAAGTTCAGTGTCCTTATCCTTCCCAGCTGCCAATGGTTTCTGGCTTGGTTTATGCCTGTACAACTCCTAGGATTAGGTGTAATGTTTCCAGAACACATGTAAGCACACAGCTGGAATTGCAGATATGCCTCTAGTCTGAGGAGTTCAGCCTCCAGGTCATGTAGTAGTTATTCTGCATGCTCCCTAGGGAAACAATTTCTGTCTGTTTTTATGTGTTCGAAGTTGGCATTGGAGGCAAGGCCAAGGCCTGTGGCCATAAGTCATAAAAATAAGAGTAATTAACTCTGTGATTGCTCATTTTCATGCATAATTTGGATACTTCTAATATAACTGTAATGAAGGCAGAAATCCAATTATATGGCAATGATTCCAATGCAAATGGAACACAGTCTTGCAGGAATGGGAGTCTTCATAAACTGAAGATTGCAATCTTGCACTACTCTTCCATATGAAGTATAATACACAGAGATGACAATTAACTATAACAAAAGACAATGCTTTCGGTTGGGAAATTTCCTCTATTTCTGCATGATGTGCAGTAAACTTGATTCAGTGTGTGTGTGAGAGAAACCTTAGAAAGTAAATACAGATATGTCACCCTTTAGACACAATAGTTAGACAGTTAGAGACTCTTTGGAGCCAATGTAGTATAGTGGTGGACTGGAATCTGACAGATCTGGGTTCTAGTCCTCCATTTGGCCACAAAACTCACAAAGATCAAGTAGATGCTCCTGCTAGAGGAAAGGGGAGTAGATTATTTCTACTGATCCCCTTGTAGTCTACAGTACACACACAGTTCTCAGAAGCATTCCTGACCTATTGGAGTAGTTTTGAGGACTAAAGGGGAATGTTGGGGGAAGGTGGAACAAGAAGAAAAAGTATTCTTCCTTCCTCCAAAGATTCCCATGATAGAGTTCTGCTAACCAAGGGGCATTGAACATATACATTTTGGTATCTGTCTAAGAAGACAGCATTAATCTATGAAAGCTTCTTGCTTATGAATATTTATATGTATACTAAAGAGAGTTAGGTTTGCAAATTTGGGGCTTTTCTTTGTTCTTTCAAGCTGTGCATGATTTGCTGAACTCTACATGGGTGGTCAAGTTTAAGATGCTTAAATGGTAAATAGAGATTAAAGTGTATCCCCTGAGTTGTAAACTATGCATCTTCCCCTCTATTTTGTGTGGCAGTGCATTATCATCAGCGGGGAAAGTGGTGCTGGAAAGACTGAAAGTGCCCATCTCATTGTGCAGCATCTCACCTTCTTGGGAAAGGTATCTATTGACTGCCACATAGCTTCAGTAACAATCCTGTCAAGTGAGGCATGTAATCCTAAATAGTGTTTTAGCCTCTTCTCTAGTGCAGGTATGAGGAGCTTAGAAGCCTCCACTGCCATTTTCAGTTAACCAAAATGTAGGTTTATTGTCAAAACCAGACAAACAGTGGCTAATCCTAACTATGGTTTACTAAAACAAACTAACTTCATAAGCAATGCTTGGATGTTGACTTGAGTGGACCACAGTTAAGCATCCTTGCAGGTTGTCTAGGTTGGAACACTAAGATAAGATTAGTCAAAACAAGAAGCACGAGCTTCCAAATTTCTCTTCAGATTTGAAGAACTAAGGGTGAACAAGTCCCTCACCTGGTGCCAGAGAGATCACAGCATAGGCACCAGATGAGTCTCTCTGATTAGCTTTTAGATGCACTGCAAATGCTCTTTTAGGCTGCCATTGTATATGTACTTATCTGGAAACACGTTTCATTAAACTCAGTAGGGCTCATCTGTGAGTAGACATGAATAGAGATGTTCTGTTTTTCCCCTGAGCTGGCATGTTAATGCTGTTTTATAGTGTTATTGCTTGTTCGTTGCTGTTAATTTTTTTGTTGGGTCCCTCTTGCTGCAGTTATAGCTGTTTTTTTATCAATGTATTTCCTTTCAATGGATTGCTTTCATTTTTTATTGTTCACTGCCTGCAAGGAAGGGTGGAAAGGTTTTAACTAAACAAATGATACCTATTTTGCTGGGACTTTCCATGTGCCCTGTTTTGTCTGTGAAGGCCAGCAATCGTGCTTTGCGGGAGAAGATCCTCCAAGTGAACCCACTAGTTGAAGCCTTTGGGAATGCCTGCACTGCTATCAACGACAACTCCAGTCGTTTTGGGAAATACCTGGAAATGATGTTTACACCAACAGGGGCTGTAATGGGAGCAAAAATCTCAGAATATCTGCTAGAAAAATCCAGAGTCATCAAACAAGCAGTGTAGGTATAAATTGGGCAGTTTCACATGAAATGTTTTTGTTTGTTTTTAGCTGTTTTACTTCTTTATCTATTGGAAAGTGCTTCTAAGGCCTCTCAAACTGGCTCATAAAGTTCATACATCATGAATACACAATTAAAATGCAATTAACAGCTTAATAACTGAACAAAACAATAAGCCCAAAACCAAATGCAAACATCAAAATCAGTCACAAATGGAAACGATTTCCATTAAGAAGCCCCCTGATACTCTGAGGAAAAGGCCACTAAGAATAAATGTATCGTAAATTTCTTCTAAAGGACTCGAAAGTGGTACCTCAGCTCATAATGAGTTTTGTAAGTATGGTAGCAGTTACTAAGAACATCATCTCAACAGGAAGGAAAACAGGGTAGAACTTGGCAATGCAGTGTCTAATAAAACACACCTATATATGGGATATGATTATGGCACTGTGTGCCCTGCAATTGCTGATGTTTTTATGAAGTCGGCTCCCATTGCATTAATGAAGAAAGTGTCTGAGAGTAAAATCTTAAGTAGTAAGACCCAGAAGTCCCCACTGGATCAGATATAACGACAATTTCTTGCAGAATCAGGCAGAGTTCTATGATGCAGTCTTGTCCCAATCCTGTTTACAGCAAGTCAAGTGGCTTTTAATGTTCAATTAGTTGTGTCCTGCCTTTTCTCTAGAGAGTTGTGAGCAAACTTTTGCCATAACAATAACTGTGTGAGGTGCATGATTCAGAAAATGATAGCCGTTTGCTTAATATCACCCTCGGAACATTGGTGATGGGCAAGGATTTTGAAACTTGGAATCTGCAATCCCCATCCCATGCAGAGCTCTTTTTCTATGAATCAGAAACACTCTTTTAGTCTAGGAGTGAAACTGAACATGAATTTCAGTTTCTTTCCACCTGGGCCTCAGATAGTCTGTGCTGTTCTACACCAAACTGGTGCTTTCCAGATGTGTTGGACTGCAACTCCCATAATGCCCAGCCAGCATGGCTACACAAATTTTGAAGCAAATCTTGAGACTGGGCTGAAGTGTGAAAGAAGAGGTCCTGTTGTACGAGCAAAAGTCCACACATGTGATATTGGATTCTAGCCAATCAATTCAGATTTCATAACTGTTCAATGCATTTTAAAAATACCAGGATCTTGTGCAAGTGCACAAGAGCAAAAGATAATCTGTCCACTATTTAGCCCACTGTAGCAAAACTCCCCTTTTGTCAATGACCTTGTCAATCCCATCCTTTGCTTTGGCACTTCCCTGCCTAGTCAACACTTTGTTTTTTTTAAAAGACTGCTTCATGTACTCCCAAAGTAATGCCACCGGGCTGGAATGCAGCTTCTCTAGCATAATGCAGCTGCCTTTGCCTCTTTCCCTTTTTGTTTCTCTGCTGGTCTCTGTTGCTAGCTGTCAAATATAATGATAGTTATGAGGCAAAGAAACCATGGGTTCTCATACTGTTTGTGGAAAACAACAGGCAATGGAAAAACTGCTCTGGGTTCAGATGTCATGACAAGCTGTCCTGCAACAACCCATGGTGACAATCCATGACGGCTTAGAGTGCTGTGCAAGCCTGCAAGCCTGGTCTTAATCCCACCATGGAACTTCTTAATAAGTCACAACTTCTAGCTCAGGCAAACTGAATTATAGGAGAGGGCTTACCATTCAGCACTGTTGCCAGAATGGGTTTACACAATATCAGCCTTCTCTAATTTGTTGCTCTCCAGATGTTTTAAATGGCAGCTGAGAGTGATGGTGGTTCATAATATATTTATATGCTGTTACTGATGTTATTTTGTTTTGGATTTCTGCTTTAAACAGTTTTATTTAAACATTATTTCCTTGACAGGCCAGCTACAGTATTGTTGCAAACATTGGACATATTTAAAGTTTTTAATTTTATTTTTATTGTTCCCAACTTGGGAATAGTATTGGACATGGAGTGGGATAGACAGCCTGTAAATAAATAGAACAATACATTAGATATTTATTATTGCTGGGTATGTTTTTGTTGCCAGACAGCATATGTCCTGAGCTTGCTCTTCACAAGCATGCCAAACCACAGCTTATGTTTATTTGCCTTATAATAGCTTGCTTTTCTTTAACAGAGGAGAGAAAAACTTCCATATATTTTATTATATTTATGCTGGCCTTTATCACCAGAAGAAACTCTTTGAATATAAGCTTCCAGAGAAAAATCCACCCAGGTAACTTCTACTGATTTGCTGATTTGTTCTTAATGCCTGCCATAATTGGCTACTGATTTGCTCCTGCTTTCACTGTGATCCTTTAGAATCAACCTTAATCCTTCCCCAGAATTTAAGGATCCTTTGTAATCTCCTCAAGTACAAAAGTGGATAAGACAATAAGGAATTTTATGATTTAAACTTGTTCAAACTACATGAATCAAAAATAAAAAGTATCTGTTATAATTTTCCCACTGTCTTGGATATCACCTGCTTTCTAAAATAATTTATTGCTAAGTTAATGGTATGTGTTAGCATTACGCAAATAAACACAAATGAATGGTTTTAAAAGGGCACATAATTGTTTAGGTAATTAGCATACTAGAACAAAATTTGTCTTTGGATAGTCTAGTTTGTCAACATTGTGCCCCTTCTCTTGTCTCATTTTATCATTTATAAATCCCTCTTTGAATATAATGGCACCCAGACAGCTTGAAATTTGCTGGTCCTATTGATTTCTGGTGCTGGTGCTAGTAGTGGTAGATGTATCCAATATTACTAAAATTTAAAAGTTCAGTTCAATGAGTCCACCCTAAATACAACTAGAATTGGATCAATTGTCTTAGGAAGGTAAGGAAGTTTAAATGTATCTCTATGCATTTTGCAGACATATTGAATCCCCAGGGAGGGCTGCACCACTTAGTTTCAGAAAAGGAAATTTCGGTCTTAAGCCAATTTCAGTCTTATACAGTGCTTTGCTTATACCTTTGGAGCAACTGTTAACTATTTATCTATATGGGAAAAGAGAGAGAGAGAGAGAGAGAGAGAGAGAGAGAGAGAGAGAGAGAAGCAGCACTGATGGTGTTCGCTATCTAGTTTCTTGGGGAGGTGAGGTGAGGTGAGGTGGGGGGGATGGGGCACACTTTATCTATCACTCTGCTAGTGGGGCAGTGGTAAATTTTGAAGTTCAGGTGCTCACCATGGCAGTCCCCATAGCCACACAGTTAACGAGAATCCAAAAATGCAGGTACTGGAATTAGTCCATATTAACTAACCAGGTCCAGCATGTTTTATCTCCACCATACCTCAGCCTCAAGCCCTTGTTCCATTCCATAGATCAGCCTTTTGGGAAATGATGGAATGAAAAATGTGAGTGTGTCTCTGAGTGCGTGCAAAATGTTTTCTCCTCTGAGTACCCCCAATGAGCTTGTACAGATGAGATGATCAAAAAAGACATCTGGCTCTGTTGGGTTTGCTTTCAGTCTCCATAACTTTCTTTTCAGAAATCACGAACTGATTTCAGTTGTCCCATTGTATTTAGGTATATTGATAATGACACTGGAAGGGTGATGCAAGATATTATTAGCAAAGAATCCTATGGCACACAGTTTGAAGCAATTCAACATTGCTTTAGGATCATAGGGTTTACTGATGAGGTAAGTGATACCTTTTCGTTTTGGTAACAGAAAGATAATGGTCTTGCTTTAAAAACTTGATTGTTATTTTTGTGTGGCAAATTTAATACAGGTTTGGGCTTGTGGAAGAATTATTTGTATTTCTTCGATATTTGGTTTGCAAGCAGCTGTGCATGGGTACTAGGCTGAAGCCCAATTCTATTCAGTTAAACATATATTCACATTTTAAATTACGTTTTGTTGTTGTCCACTTTATTGTCAGTTTGGCTGATCGAGTATCTTTGTCTTTCCTGCACAAGGAAGATGTGACCACAGCCCTGCTGCTACACTGAATTAGAATAAATGCATGTCTAGAGAAGGAAAGGCAGAGAGCTGAAGCTAAGAGGTCAGAGCAGGCACAGAATGATATAGTTAGCATTTAGGCCAGCAAGCCAGAATGCTACTTCTGGGGCAAAAGGAGTTCAGTCCACTAAGAATTTCTTATGCCATAACTGGGCATTTTACCAGCTGGTTGTGTTCTGTCAGAAACAGGAAATGAGGTCTGATAAACTAATAAGCTCATGATTCTGCCAGATGTTACCCGTAAGTAATCAGATTCTTTCTGAGTTCTGTCCCTGAGCCACCTGAACATGTTGTAACTCATGGTTTCCCTAATTGCAACAAATCCTTTCTGTGCTTGGCCTGGTTTGGCTTTGGCCCATCTAGTTTTCCAGGTGTCTATGCATATCAGGGTGCAGAACATGTCTAGAAACTAAATCTAGCCTGCTTGGGATCCAGATTTGGTTTCCAAGTTTTCCCGGACAGCCCCACTCTTCCCCCTGACCCCAGTCATTACGTGGCTTTCTGGCTTTTGTGCAGCTTCCCTCTTTCTAAAGGCCAAAATGCCTCTCCTAACTATTAGTTATTGGCAGCAAGCGCTTTAAGCAAGCCATACTAATATATTTGGGTGTTTTGGGCCCTAACCCTTTTGTCTTCATTCCCACCTTGCAGCAGAATGCAGCTTCTGCGAGTGTCTCCAAAATGGAATTTGGTCCTCAGGCTGAAAATGTTTCAGCACCTCTTGTCATGTATGCCTGGGAAGCTTGCCAAAATGTGCATGCACAACACCCCTGCTGTAGGTTATGGAAAGTGGGCCTTGAAGAAGCAAGCAATGCTACTGGATCTGGATCTCACAGACAAATGGGCTGATAATTCACTGTGTGGCCACCTTTGTGCCTCTACTCCCAACTTTTGTAATAATCCTGGGCAATTAGGTCTCAAGGGTATATTATGGAACCTCTACAAGCTGGATGCATTCAGTAGGGACTGCATGGCCAGCTGTTGAGTGACATGTATGGATAATTTAAAAACAAAAAGGAAGGTAACATGTCATAAAGAAAACCAAAGAGGACACTGATATAAAAAAAGCAAATGCAAATTCAGAAACAAATGTAATAATTTAGAAAGGAATATAGTGCATCTCACCATAGGGTGGAAGACAGTGACAGGTTACCTGTGTGCCTTGCTTAGCCTGCTGCCTAGATGCTGTTGATGGGCAACTTGAAGGCCCAGCTTTCCCTTAGATGGCTCTTTATATTAACACCAGGCTGAATAGCCCTTCCGATAGAGGACCTATCTGTACTTCTGGACCAGAGGATATAAACAGTTTCCACAGGACAGAACAGCGAGGTCATATTACCATGGAGTGTGTTTGGACTCCAGAATTCTGGCCTTAAAGGTTGTCATTCCTCTTGCTTGTAGGAAGTTCACTCAGTATATCGAATTCTGGCTGGAATCTTAAATACAGGAAACATCGAATTTGCTGCCATTTCCTCCCAGCACCAAACAGATAAAAGTGAAGTGCCCAATGCTGAAGCCTTAGATAATGGTAAATATTTCTTAAAAGTCTAATTGTGCTTAAAGATACTGCCAGAATATGCATAAGAAAATCCAGTTTTAAACAAGATGGCTGCCAGTGTAAGCAGCCTCAGTCTCATGGCATGCTTGTGCAATCTTTCAGCTGCTGCACTGCTGAGTATTGGCTCAGAAGAACTTCAGGAAGCTCTTACCTCACATTGCGTGGTAACACGGGGTGAGACAATTATCCGGACAAACACTGTGGACAAGGCAGCAGATGTGCGTGATGCCATGTCAAAGGCACTTTACGGCCGACTCTTCAGCTGGATTGTAAATCGCATTAATACCCTGTTGCAGCCTGATAAAAATATATGGCAAGTTAACACATCAGTAAACAGCATGGGTGCTGGTGGTTTCATCCATGTCTATATCTTTCTTTTTATTTTATAGGAGAAACTTGTTTTAGATAATAGCTTTCGTGCTGTGATACTGCATCTTTGTTTCCAGGGAGATAATTCCAGTGCTTTCAAAGAGGTGACTGGGATTTATCCTAGTTGGTTAGTGGGATCAGTGTGTGAGGTTAAAATTCCATCAGTTCCTTGAGAAGATATTTGGGTATATACTCATCACAAAATAACATTTTTAAAGTTAGTCCATTTCAAGACAGAAAACTAACTGAGGGCACAATCTTATATATGTTTAAATGGAAAAAAAGTCCTACAGCTCCTAGCAATTCACAGCCAGGCACACTGGCTAAGGCATGCTGAGAGTTCTAGATTTTCTTTATTCTAAACATACAATTATACCCTGAAGCTCTTTGAATTATAAGGCTATGCTATACAAATATATAAGATGGCATTCTCACTGGAGATGGTTACTAAATGCAACCTAACCTGATTTATCTGCACACATGAAAGCTAAAGTGCTTTATGGATTACAAAGCTTTTTTTGAAATATTTTTAGGTCTTGATTCTGAAGCAAATTTTTATTTTATTTAGTATCTCAGTTTTCCCTTGTTTTCAAAGCAAGTTGTAATAATAAAAAGATAACAGTAAATCACAAAAAATAAATATAACAGGTTTTAGGGCTAAGCTTGCAGATTATAAAACTGAGCTTTGACTAGACCAGGCTCAGACTAAAGTTTAGTTTTAGACCTTATTCTGGACATCAATATTACCTTGGTTTTGAAAGATGGTTCAATTGTGCATTTTGTTTGTTTTTCCATCTAGTAACTCTGAAAATGGAATGAATGTTGGAATACTGGATATTTTTGGCTTTGAGAACTTCACAAGGAACTCATTTGAACAGCTGTGCATAAACATTGCAAATGAGCAGATCCAATTTTATTTCAATCAGCACATCTTTGCACTTGAGCAGGTAAATTTTCCATTATTGGAGTTGGTTGCTACTGTGGGAATTCTATAGGCTAGATCCGGGGCTTGTGAGGCAAGTGAATAAGAGAAGGTGACTTTTCTCTAAGAAGTTTTCTTATTAATTCATCCCTTCCTCTATATGGGATTATTTGTCACATCTTTGAAAATAAATGCTTTTACCACATGCAACTTCATTCAGGAAAGAATAACTTCATATGATACTTCCACTGGCATTGGACCTAAAAGTTCGGGTTTGGCATGCTAGTAGGATATTTCACCTAAGTGTTTGCAAAAACGTTTATTTGATGGCAACCCTCTTACATAAATCTTATGCAAAATTGCAACACTATGAACTTTGATTATATGAACATCCAGAAGTTAAACAAATGAAGATGTCTTGAAAAGAGTGACATTTCCTTTTGTTTGCAAAAATATTCTTTACAGTAGTTTATCATCTTTGCAAGTATTTCATGACTGGTTCTACCATCAGGCCAAGTGAGGAAGCCATCTCAAGCAACAGATTGGAGGACACTGGCAGTAGGATGCTGGAGGGCAGATATGTGGGTGCCATGTGGTTGGCTTGGACTCCTAAGCTATTGTGCCACCCTTTGGTGTGGTGGAGAATGCTGTTGGATCACCAGTACTGAAGTACGGCCCAACTGCCATTCTAGCTTGGTTCTTCCATACATGGAGCAGAGTGGGAGGTACCATCTTGCCTTCACCTCAGATAGCAAAATCTCTCAGTGGAGCCCTCCATTCATATAAAATAATAATAGAATGCTTTCTGAAAGTGAATAACCTTGTTTACTTTCATAATGGTTTAGATGGAATATCAGAATGAAGGAATTGATGCTCCTGTGGTTGACTATGAAGACAACAGGCCACTCCTAGATATGTTCCTCCAGAAGCCAATGGGGCTACTTTCTCTGCTTGATGAAGAAAGTCGATTTCCCCAGGCAACGGACCTTACATTAGTTGGTATGAGCTTCTCTAGAAATTCCAAACTATGACCACATGTATACTCAGAAGGAAAAAGGTCAGACCAAGAGAGAGCAAGCAAGGAATATGATTGCATTATTTAAACTTAAGTCTATGTACTTAACATCTGGAGGGTCTGGACAACCTATTGGGTGGTATCCAATACTTGTGATCTACCAACTCTAAACATGTTGTACTAGAAGGACTCTTGTGTGAGTTCCACTAACACATCCCATTCTGGAAGCAGTACCTTCGAGTAGTTTTAGTTCAGCTACTGCTAGCTTCCTATTGCAGTATGGGTTATTCCCGCTAATACAGTGACTCCTTTGGGATAACTCCCATTAAGTATGCATGTGTTCTTTATAAGCTCTGTTGAATGGCATTTTCTCCATATAGTTCATTGTTTTCACTGCTTTGAGTTATTAGATGATAGGGTTTATTATCTCCAAAGAGTGCTGTGAGTAATGGGCTCATTTTGCTCTGACCTTTTTGTTGCTGTTACATGAGGGTCAAGTCATCTCTGACTTATGGTGACCTCATGAATGAAGCCCTTCAAAATGTCCTGTTCAAAACAGCTCATCTGTATTCCAGACCATGGCTTTCTGACCTTGGGTACTGGGATTTGAATCCTGACATCTGTTCCATGAATGGAACAGTGCAGTGTTCATGGAACAGGACTTCTTCCCCATCTCTTCCCTCTGAGGGCCCCTTATGCCCTCACCAAAGATGGGTTAGGAAAACCATCTGAAAGAGAACAGCTTGCGATTTAAGGAGCTGCAACCAGGAAGGAAGGCTCACCCACAATTGCTTTCCTCTTGTGCAACCATACCTTTGGATCCAGGCCATTGTCTTCAACTGGCCAGTTAAGTGGGAAATAAGTTTAAAAAGAAGGCTTGGGACAATCCATGTATCCATAATTCAGACTGACGCCACCTCATGTGTTACATTGCTGCCTACCTCCTCCAGAAGAATGTTAGAAAATCAATATTCTCTAGGAATATTGCATATACAGTGAGTTGGCAGTTTTGCATCCCTTTCTCATTGAAAAAATGGGTTACCTTATGGTGACTCCTCCAATTCAAAATTGTTTGAGAGATTCAGTAATGGAATCGTGCAAATAGCACAGAAACTTTTGGCTGCTTGTTTACTCTGTTGGCTTTGGCTGACTCCCTCCTGACTAAATAGAAACTGTTTATTGCTACTTATTTTGTGGCAGCTGGTCAAACACCGGGAATTTGCACAACCTACCACAGACATCTGCTCATATGGGAACCACAGTTTCAGTGTTCTGCTTAGATAGGCTTCCTGTTCCAGTGGTGATAACAGGGAAAATAGAATTTGGGGCTATTTCAGGTACTGGCCAAGCTGAGATGTTGTACCAGTGAGCTTCACTACACAAGGCATTCATTGTGCGCAGATGAGTCTTTACTTGGTGCATTTTGCAGGGCTTTAAATAGTGTTGTCTTCTAGGGGCTCTCCTGTGTTTTCCAAGCATTTCCTCATTATTTTTTAAAATGAGGATAATCTGCTATTATCTAGCTATGGAAACCATTATGTGTATTTCTGCAATTGCACTATAGCATGGCACCAACTTATGGTTGCATAATAGAACATATAGGAAGACAGAGAAAGAAAAACCCTAGAGAAAATTGGAAAGGGCACTTTCTTTCTCCAACAAAGAAAATGGAAGAAGTTACAAAATATGAGAAATTATTGAGTAAAGCTGATCTAATAATCAAAGATTTGAGGTTTATTGCAAAAACAGAAGCATTTTGTCATTTTACATATTTATATTCCAACTATCTTGACTTCTGATTTCTTCCATAAACAGGCTTGTGGTCTTTATGCCTCTATGATAGCCAAGTGGCTAAGAGACTGAACTGTGAATCAGGAAATATCCAGTTCCCATTTTACTTCTGTCATGTATTTATCAAATGGCCTTATTAGGAAGCCACTCTTGGTTTTTGTCTGTCTTGCTTTCCTTCTACCCTCATGAATGCTGTGAGAACAGCCATACTTACCTATTAATAGTAAATACCTATTATAGACCAGCATAAATGGCTTTTGTGCTAGAATCTGTCCCAATATCCTCCCAAATCTATCTAAATTTCTTTGTCCAGAAAAGCTACAATCTGTGCCCTGTCTGCTCCATACTAGAAGGAAATGCCTCAGCCATATGAATTTTAGCATGCTTGTTGGGGAGCTGTAAGAAGTTTTAGATATATGTCTTCAGTGTAACATTAAGAGTAGCAACTTAATATTAAAGCATAATAAGTGAACCCAAATAGCTTAAATAGCAGAAATTCCTGCTGGCAAGCCTCCTGCAGCTTCCCATACATAGTTGAAAAGTGGTAGGAAGGTAAAAGGAATGCAAGGGAAAAGTGACTTATTAGTCTTGCTGGGCTAATTCCTTCTTAAAGTACATGGAAGGGAATAACAAAAGAGTGGCCAGAGATATCAAAGAAGTAATGTGGAGAAAGGAGGAGTGTGGGGCAGCCATAATGGGCAAGAACGCTTTGCAGTTCAAAGAATGGGCTGTTAATTATATTTCCTTTTGTGAAATAATTAGATAAATTTGAAGATAATTTACGATGCAAGTACTTCTGGAGACCCAAAAGAGTGGAACTGGGTTTTGGCATTCAGCACTATGCAGGCAAGGTAAGAGACTATTTAATTTGTATTAAATCCAAATGTAGTAAATCACCTGCTTCTCTTCTTTTGCTTTCAGAGTTCTTTCTCAGATTGATGCTTTAAACATGTTTGCATTTCAAGATTTCAGTATGGGCAAATACAACATCACAGTAGTGGTAGTCTGAAGAGGCAACAGAACTTTCTTCATCTCTCTCCTGCAGCTTTTTGTGCTTTTTGGAAACCTGCTCCAGATAATCAGTCCTCTGGAGCAAATTTTGAGGATGCATTGGGCTCTGTGTGTGTGTGTGTGCATGCGTGCACATGCGTGTGTGTAAAATGGCTTTCCTCCTGCTTCTGCTGAAAGATTCAAGGATTAGGGACTGCTGGCACTGTAGAATGACATGTTGGATGCAACAACTGAATCGCATAATACCTGTGCTGCAACACTTTGCTTTCCGCTGACTGAGGATTGGACACAGATGTGCCCTCTATTCATTTGATCCTGGGACTGCAGTTGACCCTCTAGTGCAATTGGCCTGATGCTTGTTCTAAATAATACAGCAGGATTGTGTAATTGCCTGTTTCATCCTTAGGTACTGTATGATGCATATGGCTTCCTTGAGAAGAACAGAGACACTCTTCCAGCTGACATAGTGGTAGTTCTGAGGACTTCAGAGAACAAACTTCTTCAACAGCTCTTCTCAAGCCCTTTAACCAAAACAGGTATTCTCATCTCTGAAGCATTGTTATTATTAATGTCACTAATGCTATTCCTTCGGTGAGCACCTTCAGGCCCTGGAGCTAAATCCAGCTGTCCAGAGTTCAGCAAATGGCCATGCCCCGTTATGCACCCCCACTCACTTCCCCCAGCTACCAATCACTAAGTGGTTTCCCGGCTTTTGCTCAGCTTTCCCCCCATTCTAGGAGACTGGCGTGCATCTCCTGTGGCATTGTTCCCTGCAGAGCCTTAAACTAAAATATACTTGGCTTTGGGGTATTTTTGGCCTCACCTCTTCTGCCTTTGGCCCAATCCCTGTTGCCTTCAGCCCAGCCCCTTTTGTCTTTGGTCCAACCTACCACTGGAATGCAGTCCCCAGGAGCTTCTCCAAATCTTGGGCCGAAGGAGGTTTCTCATCACTCTTATAGCTAAATAAGTTTCTCTCTGCTTGGAATTTTAGAAAACTCAGTTTCTTCAAATACATTATCCACAGCTATTTTTTTCTGCCCATGTTGTTTATGGAGAGCAATTTATGAAGGGGAACACTAATTCATTCTTGGTCTGCTTGTTATGCCCTCTCCACAGCTTATTAGGTTTCTGTTTATAGCAACTTTTCAACCCCAGGCATGGAATTTAGCACTGGAGATGCACTTAGTGAAGTAGACGTTGCAGTGGTAAAATACATGAAGGTTTTAAACGGGCATTTTTCATCCCAGAACTTGTGGGGGAAAGAAGAATGGCTGCAGTGCTAAAAATGTATTGCAATTGTGCTGTAGTTAAATAGCTATACACAAGTATGATATGGATGTTAGCTTCACAATGTTGGCATGAAATATGCTGGCTCTGTTCCCTGTAAGTTATAGCAGCTCCCAGCTGGACCCTTGCTCGTTCAGGAATGGATGGGTAAAGTGAGTGAAAGACTGGGCTAACATCCTCACCGCAATTGTGGCAACTGTCTAACCAGTGCAGACAGCATCTGCAGTTGCTGCACAGCTCCTACCCTTAAATGCATTTTCCTGCAGCACTGCTGTTGCTTGAAAAATAATGTGTCAGTTCACATCTGTGTCAAGCACAGCTTGGAACCTGTGTTCATGAGTGATATATGGAGCTGTTCCAAACATACCAAGCCTTTCATTTTGAGTGTGACAAGATCTCCTGGGAAGCTCTGGGCTGGGTGGCGTGATGAAACGCGCCATGTGAAGATAGTCATTCGCACACATGCTCACTGCTGGGGCCAAAAGAAGCCTGTCAGTAGCCATGACCTGAAAGAAAAACGGTTTCTTTCACAGTAAAAGGCCTCTCTGTGGCATAGTACTGCTGATGTACTGGGCTTGTAAAAATATACAGTGGCTCTTAGATCAGCGATGACATTATTTTAATTAGCTGAAGAGACTTCTGGTAAATTGTGTATAGTTTCACAATTGTAACAGAAAGAAGCCACATTGAGGAGCAAAAGAAACATCATGATTATGCAGGCAAAGCTTCTTGCATTTTTGTTCTTAACTCAACTCTCCTAGGGTGTCTGTTTAGAAGACACCCTAAGACAGGGTGAGACTAGATGTAAGTGGACTGTAAGTGCATGAGCTCTAGTCAGCTCAGCCAATGAGGCAGGCTGATGGGAGCTGCAGTTCAGCAATGTCTGGAGGACATCAAGTGGCTATAAGAGATTGACAACATACTGATGAAAATGGTTCACTTTTCTATTTTGGAATATGCTCCCCCCCATGATGCCCCATGGATAGTTTGGGGTGTGTCAGTATGCCTGTCCCTCCAGGCATCCTTTATTCATGAAGTCCATAACAAAGAAAGCCACAGTCTTGAATGTAGGACAGCTAAGCAAGGATGTCATGAGCAGGGCATTTTGGAAGGCTTCCATTCATAGGGTCACCAGAAGTCAGAGACAACTTGATGGCACATAACAGCAACACCCACATCCGGTACATATGAGTTCAAACTGTACGGCCCTGTAGTCAGAGTTTACACAGGTTGAGTTTTACATGTGGACATCACATCCAAACATCATGCCAATCTGGGAACGTCCAGAACTATAATTAGGGTAGGTACACTTGGTGGTTGGAGCAGGAAGGTGCAATCTCCAGAGAGGGAGAAAGCAGGCCAGTGGGGTGGAACGAGGTTACAGGATTTTGGAGGACAGGGCTGTGTAATGTCACATGGCCTGCCTTGTGCCCTCTAAGATAGCCTGCGGTTTTGGGGTTCATGGAGGACCTCATCCCATTACTAGTGCTGAAATAAGATTCAGCTGCCAGTTGTGTTGCACATGGGATGGCAGGGGTGCTGTCTTGCCCTTCCCCTCAGGGACTGAAATGATTTGGGGAATTTATTGTCTGAACTAGTCCTGAGACTGTGCTGGCCATCCTTAAGTGTACTTCAGCACTTTGAGACTCCAATGGCAACAGTTGGTGCAAAGGGGGGCGGGGGGAGAAGGAGGGGGAAGGAGAGGAGGAACTAGGATTATCTAGTTTGGGCAGGGCAGATACCTGCTTGGCATATCATTTCCTATCTAGACTTCCAGGACTACTGTGGCAATTCTGGCTTGCGGGGGTTTTCTTTCTTTTTTAATTATTACCAGATGTTTTATACAGCCTGTGGTTAACTTGAAGAGCTTGTTGTACTTGTGGTGCAAAGCAGAAAATCGACTGTCAGTCCCTTAGCACAAAGCAGAATTATCATAGAAAGGTTGTAGACAAAAATTGAATCTGAAAGAACAAGCAAGTCTCAAGTGTTCTAGTGACATCAGTACGTGCCATTCAGAGCTCCAAACGACACATAATACGGCTGCATCAACCAAGGTGTTTCAGTTTCTGATGTAATGAAACTGAACCAGTTGAGTCTTCCATGTGTGTTTATATTCAGGTTTTCTCCAGCTGAAGCACTGGTGTAGCTTGAAGGCACTGAGCTTGTAGCCATTCTTATCTTCATTCAATCTGCTTTGTACGGTCAGACCATGTTAAACTCTTCCTTGTTTGCACGGTCTGGCATGTGTAACTCTCTTGTTGGATAACTGCTTTCATAGGGTTCCAGACTGATTACATTTTTAAAGAAGTCGATTAGTGTAAAATTGCACAGGTTCACAGTTTGAGATTATTTGTGAGGTACTGCAACTTGTTTCAAATAATTAGCTGAAATATGTAATGGGGAATGCAGAAATGGATGGGAGAGAGGAGCTTGCATGAGAAATTTGGAGAATTAATTTGTCCCTTTCACTGGAAACGGGGGACAAAATTTTCCACATAATGACCCAAAATACAAAGGGTCTGAACTAGGGAAAAGTGTCTGTATGTGGGTTTCTTTCACTCTGGTAAGCCTATGCTGCAGGTTGATGGCTTGCCCAATGACTTTATAAGCATACCCTTAAAAGTTTTCTAAAGACTATAGTCTGCATCATCATCACCATCATCGTCATCATCATCACTATCTCACTTTTTTTCCTCCAGGAACCCTAAGCACATGTTCTTCTTCATTCTTTCTATTTTATCCTCATAGCAAGCCTGTGAAGTAGGTTAGGCTGAGGTTCACCAACTGGCCCAAAGCTACTAGGTCAGTATCAGGACCAAGTGGGGTCTTGAACCAGAATTTCCCACGTTTCAGTCCAACACTGGACTGGGTAACCACTAAGTCATACTAATTCTCTCACAGTATGGTGCAGATTATACTAATCCTAAACTGGTAAAATTTCTCTTTGGGGCAAAAGAAGTGGGGAACATCCAGTTCCCTTGGTACAGACTGTACAATGCACAGAAGACCTGGTGCCATCTTGGTATCTTGGACTGCAACTCCTATAGTTCCCTGCCAGCATGGGAGTATCCAACAGACCTGGAGTGCATCAGGTTGGGGAAAGCTGTCCTAGATGTTCCAACGGTCATAGAGGATCATGGGACATATGGTTACATAAAAACATAAGAAGAGCCATACTGAATCAGGCCAATGCTCCATCTCACTATCATTCTGTTCACACAATGGCTGACCAACTGTGCATGGGAAACCCACAAGCTAGTCATGAGTGAAACATCACAGCACCTATGTTGCTCAACAACTGATGTACTTGGCGCTTCGCTTCTGATACTGGAGCTAGCATAGAATAATCAGTATTAGTAGGATAGCTGCCAGGCGCCTTCTTCTCCATGAATTTGTCCTATCACCTTTTAAAGCTATCCAGATTGGTGGCCATCTCAAAGGCAGACCATCCTCATTCATGTATGGGAGCTTAAATTGCTTTGCAGCCTAGGCTGAGCCACCCTAACTATAGTAATGCCATGTTGACTTCCTGGAGTTAGAAGAATGGACTTGGTCTATGCAGTGCCTGTTGCTTCTTGGAGAAGGGCTTTCTGAATCCAGCAGAGTCCAAAGCTGAATAAAGGGAGCTGTCCCACAATCCTGTGGCAGGTTTTGAGCAGGCAGAATCCATTCAAAAGACAGGCAGAATTCATCCTTGGGAGAAATTCACCCTCTCATTGGAAGCAAATTTGTGCTCTTTTCTACATTCATAAACCTAAGTGCACAATATACAGGGTGCAGAGTTGCAAATTTATTGTTTAGAAATTCTTATGTGCATTTTCCAAATTAAGAGAGGCTTGCAACCCTTTTATTTTAATGATCTGTTAATATTTTTTCAGATCAGTCTTCGTGACTAATTGGCCTGTTTATTTATAAAACTCCAATACCATTACCAAGTTAATTTCCAACTCAATTTCCTAGCTGAATGAAGGAAAGGTCCTATGTACACACACAGCCCTTTTTGGTCATAATGTTCTGCCAGAGTCATTTGTGCCAGCAGTGGCAAGTCTTGGTTTCATGTGATCCCCTGTCCCCTTCCTCTATTGACGTGGCCTTGAGGAGAGGTGGAGGAACAAGCTGCCAGGTGTACTGTTCCTCATGAGAACTTAACTTAAACATTGGTTAGTTAAACTCTGGTTTGTTTAAATAAGATCAAATAAGATCAAATCATGTTGTATAATCCTGGCATTAGCAACCCATATTTTACCTA